ATAAATACCTTCCCAACACAATCTGATCAATAGGACTTCCAGAGAGCAGTGACTGATGAATATCACACAGGTAGAGCCCATGGGACAGCATTTAGAGTTCAAGGATTAACCAAGACATCCAGGAGAGCTAAAGTTTCTGCCAAGGGGATCAAGGTGAGTCAGTGTGGTAAAAGAGTTCCATCATTAACAAGAGGTGCTGGGAACACTTGTCTCTATACAGAAGAGCATGGAGTTCACCGGGTTAAGGTTCTGTGTGCTCCAGTGTGGTCAATGGGTTGGATACAGAGGCAGAGATCCCTGATCCTACTGAATATTCATTTTCCCTTTCTTAGTGAAAGAATCCCAACGCTTGTGGTGGAGACAATGGTTACTGTATTTCTCATCTCTAATGCAAATACAAGGGTCAATGACATGTGAGGATTAACAGAAGTCTCTAGAAAAACCATCTCTGCCTTGCATTTGCCTCTTTCCTATTGCTTCCTGACATGTGGATAGACAGTGCAGCTGCAGGGCATCCTGGTCCTTGAGGACTGACACCACATTCGTGAATGCAAAAGAGACAAAGCCCAAGCCTCCAGGTGCCTACCACCATGCACACTCTATGCGAGGAAAAGCCAACACCTACCTTTTCCGGGTTGTCTATTTAGTGCACTCAAATCGAATCCTAAGTGACACTATCACTCCACACAGCTAGGGAGCTCAAGATAACAGTGAAGAAAATCCGTCTGAGTTCTGTGTTAGCAACTGTGTTAAAACTAAGCCCTACACCATATCTAGTAAAACAGAAATCCTGTAGGAAGGGCCTGCCAATCTGGCCAATAAGCCCTCAAAGTTGGAAATCACAGCTAAGGAATCAAGAGAAATTCTTCTTATTCAATGTTCCAGGGTAGGGAAAAAACTTCTCTGCCATTGATTTGTGCCTCTATACTCATAAGAAATATGAGGGTTATTTTCAGCAGCAGGACCTTAAGTTCTGTAGGGCAGCCAATAGTGTTAGTAATACCCTGTGATGGCATTTCGCATTTCTCTCTCTCTCTCTCTCTCTCTCTCTCTCTCTCTCTCTCTTTCTTTTTTTTTTTTTTTTTTTTTGGTGGGGAGGACTTCTGGTACCCCTGTGGCCAACAAAGAACTGATGCACATAAGAATTCACAGAGACTGTGGCAACACACATAAGACCCGCACAGGTTTAACCCAGATGGGGTCCCAGCATTGAGGATGGAAACAGACATAGGATCTCACCACTAACCAAGAAGCTATTGTTTTCTCCAATGGGAAAGTAAGTTTTCTTCAATGGAACACCACTGGGTATATAACTATATTCCAGGGCAGACCCCTTGTCTGGGAGTAGCTGGCCAACAGAACACTAACTCTGTGGTGCTGTGTGCATTTGTGAGGGGGGTGGATAGAGGTTGTTTTGTTTTGATTTTTTGTCTTATTGATTTTTATTTGCTTTGATTTCAGTTTTTTATTTTTGTTTTTGAGAGGAAGTGAGACAGAAAGAGAGCATAAAGTTGGATGGGGGGGGTGAGGAGAATCTGGGAGTAGCTGGGGAGAAGGGGGCATGATCAAAAATATTGTATGAAAAAACTTAATGAAAACATTTTTTAAAAAGATGCTCAATTAAACATATTTGAGTTCCAATGCCAAATTTACCATTTTCTGACTATATGACATTGAGGAAATGAGAATATTTGCAAGATTCGTTGCCCTCACTGTAAGTGGAGATTGTAATAACATTGCCCCTATAAATCTAAGCTCTGCCCTTGGAACACTGGAGGGACAGTAAGAAAGAAGTTAACAGCTAGAAAGATGTCTCAGAAAATGAAAGTGCTTACAGGCAAGCTGATCACCAACTTCCATCCTTGAGACCCACATAGTAGAAGCAGAGAAACAACATCTGCAAGTTGTCCTCTGACCAACACACATGCATGCACACACACACACACACACACACACATATACACACCTACATATATACATACATATACACATATACACACAAGCACATACAACATAAACATATATATACATACACATATGCATACAAGCACATACACACAAATATATACACATATGCACATATACACACATGCACATACACACATACATATACACACGTACATTCACACACATACACACATAGTAAATGAATGAACAAATAAACAAAGCAAATACAATTGTTGAAAAGGAATCAAAAGATGCTGAGCTCACTCACTGCGCAGCATTTACAGCGTGTTGCCGAGGGCTTGTCATATTCTTGTCATAGTCTTGGATGTACCTGTGAGCTTAGGTCGCCTCCTACCACTTACTGCTTCATCCTCACTATTACCTCATTCATTCTCTACGATAAGAGAGTTTCATGCAGGGAGACTCCAGGAGATACAGGAAACTGCTTTTCTTTGTATGCAACATAGCTGTCAGATAGACGGCAGGGTAGCAGTTAGGGATATCGTTTGGGGCCTTATGAAATGTCCACGCCGTCAGTTAAAGGGAAAATGAAGCCTACCTGGAGCAGAAAGTCTTAAAGCGCATACTGCTTTCTCCCAAATGAAAGATGAAAACATGGCTCTCTTTTTCTCCAGTTTCTGTCCTTCTGCATTTCTTCTACCAAATAGCCTTGCTTTGTGGAAGCCATAGGAGGCCCCTTGCTGTGTCTTGTCTATGGCTCATTTCTACCAGACAGAAACACTAGCTGGAAAAAGTTGAGCTATCAGCTTTGTTTTCTCTGGGCTAACCCTTGCATGGGATCATGACATTTCTTCCACAGCCAATACATATGGCATGTTTACCTACTCTACTAACTCTATCTCCCATTTTATGTTACAGTACCCAAAAGTCATCCAAAACTAATTCTGCCATCAACTGCTTATTACAAGATTCAGCTAACTACAGCTCTTTATCTGCTCAAAGATAAGGTTAGAACAGGAAGCCAAAAATCTCAGGGTTAACCCCTTTGAGAGCTATGTTTATATTTGATTGATCTGTTTCAACAGTAGTGGTAGAGTCAGCCAACTGTAATAAAATGCTCAACTTAATTAAAAAACGCAACATTGTAAATCCCTGTAATGTGTTTCACACAGAGTTCTTTCCTTTCCTCCCACTCTTGCCAACTTCTAGCTAAATTCACTTTGTCATACAAGTCTGAAATGTCAAGAACTATGTCAGGACAGTAAAACTTAATGTTACCATGCCTGTCACCCGGAGTTATGAGAGAACCTGCTTCCCCTGTCTACCCATCCACCAATTCTGTTTTCTGTGAGCTATGGAGAAATAGGCTTGTATACCTTTCTTTACCAAGCAGCTCACCAGCCTCTTACTGTGTCGAAACAAAGAATTTAGATGAAATCATGTCCATTTTAATTTCCACTTAATTTCTTAAATGTTGAAAAACTACCGCTGGTTATTTGGTGTTATGTCAAGGGAATCTTCCAGTTAAGAACTCAAGTGGTTTATGTAAAATAAAATACTCCATAAAAAACAAATTTTATGAATAAATCGAATCTCACTTATTTTAATGCAAATATCATAGCTGAGTGTGTCGAGGCACACTTTTAATCCCAGGATTCAGGAGACTGACACAGGAGGATTGCCATGAACTTGAGGTCAGCCTTGCATATAGAATGAGTTTGAGGCCACTTGGACAATAAAACAACTTGTTTCAGAGAGTAGAGGGAGGGAATTGGTCATAAAAGCATTTGACTATAAAATAAACACACACCATAGTGCAGGGAATTCTCCTTTAGTTACTCATTCAAAACTTCTCTGAAATTCTGGTCTTCTGTGGGAAGGAGTTAGAAACAGTCTTTCATGTCCACCATTAATTTCTATGTCATTCAAGATTTTGCTATTGTTTGAAGTTTATTTTAGGGAAACAACAGTTGATAGGACATAGATCTGTGATGGACACTTTCCCAAAAGAACATCACAGTTTCACTGATTGACAAAAGTCTTGTAAAAACCACAGCATCGATTACATTTAGTCACTACACAATAAGCAGCCGCCAAACAATACGTTTGCTTTGTAAGTGCAAAAGAAAATAAAGGCTGTTGCTTGATTCCATGCATGCCAATTATAGCTCTTCTCATGACACACACTCTCCTTTCCCTAAACGTCCCTAAAAACATTCCTGTACGACTCAGATGTATAAGTACCTGTGTTAATCTAAAAGTCTCATGAAATAACATCCTCCCAGGTATGCAAGCCTCCAAGCCATGAGAAATTAATGAAGATTTCTAGCATTTAGGGTCTCCTGTCCTTTTCTTTCCACACATTGTCATTAAAAGTGTGCATTGGTGACCTTGTGTCACTTGGGGAGACCCAGCTCTGGGAAGATTTGTACTCTAAGTTCATGACAACAAGTATTGTACTGTATTTTTCCCAAAAAATGTGGTATTATTAGGAAATGGTACCGACTCTGGACTGAGAATTTTTGATAGCCACATCCACTATGACTAAAACTCAAGGCCTAGCCATATACAGGGAACATCTGCCATGCAATTTCCAATCAGTGTAGGTCAAGCATCACCTATGACCTGCTTTGCTTAATTCTAGAAAACCCAAAAAGGAAGCCATTATCCAAAGAGCACTTTTCAGACTAAACTTTCCTGAAACGATTCAAGAAAAATCTGTGTGGTTCTGCTAGGTTTTCACTTAGAATACTGCAGTTTTCTGTTTATAATGCAGATACACATTGCTTATTCAGGGAAACCACTTACTTAAGAAAGACCTGCACAACTCCCAGAGGGGCTTGTAGTGAATGAATACCAAATATAATACAAATGCGAAAAAAAAGACTGAAGAGACTGAAAAAGCTCTCTGCAGATTAAAGGAAGTGTTGTGTTAGGCTGAAGACAAAGGAGATGTGTGTGTGTGTGTGTGTGTGTGTGTGTGTTCCTGTGTATGCACTTGTGTTGGGTCAATGGGACAGAGGCTAAAGCGTTTAACTTGCTCTCCTGCAGTCCCAGCAGCGGATATTTCCAGTCCCCGTGACAGGTCTTACCTGTTCCAATAGTGCTTTAGCCTTTTCTTCTGCTTCCTTCAGGCAAATCTCCAAATTCTCCAGTTGTTCCAAAGTAAACGCAGCCTTCTGTCTACCGACGGGTGAGTCTTCCTTCAAAACAAGAATCAAGGTTTTTGTTTTTATGAGAACTTTTTGAACAACTCTCTGAACTAAGGACAAGTTTCCTTCATAGACTCCTATCAACCTTTTGTTAATACTAGCAAAATAACAGATTGTTATATAAAAAAACCTCAGTTTAAAGGGAAGGCAACAAATAAGGAACAAGGAACAGCCACAGAAAGTGAGGACAAAATTACCCATGTTAGAATTTGTTTCACTTGCAACTTTTGTTCTTCAAGAAGTTAGGATACAAGTTTCCCATCCTGATAGGAAGTGTCACCTACATGTTATGTGTTGAGCACTCGTCTTTCAGGAAGGTCATTTGAACTGAGAGATATGAGTGTCCTTTGATTTTCACTTGTCTGTTCCAAAAGACAGAAGCAAGGACAACAATGGTTTAGAATGAGCTCAGTCTTCCCACAGCCTAGTTAGTAAGACCCAGACCAGCAGACACAAACCTCTCAAATTACTTTCTACAAGCTATGGGATGCGTAGAGAGTTGGTACAGAATTTAAGACTGGACACTGAACCGTGAGAATGTCCTAACCATTCTTTGGCTAATGTGGCAACTACTGTTCAGAGGTCAATTTGAAAACTTAAACAGAAAGGCTCTGATGGGAGCAAGCATTCTGACCTCCTGGGGATGTGTCATTTTCTTGCTCGTGCTCCAGCTAGATAGCTGTTTCTGATGAAACTTACTAAGAGTAAACTATGGTCCTATATACTATCTACTTTGTTTTTCCCTCTGGATTATGACGCCATCAGTTTAATACGTGTGCATTTCCTGGTAATGCTTTAGTGCCATCTGGTGGTAAGTGGAACCATCCATTTAAAATAAAACTTTCATTCTCCTTTCTGTATGTAGACTCTTGGGGCTGGGCCACTGGCCTAGTAAAATCAATGAACCACTATAGAATACAGGAAAAAACAATGTTTCTAAGACACAACAAATTTGGCTTCTAGACCAAAGTCTGACATTCACAGTTCCCTCAAACATTTGCCTGTAGGGAGTGAGCATCTTAGGTTAGAACAGGGATGATACAGGCCATGTGAGTCAATAGTCCATCCCATGCCAGGGTGATTTAGTCATTTCAAGAGTGGGTTCATGACAGGTCAACATACAGAGAACTGACTGTGTGGTGTCCAGCCCCAACAGATACATTATACAAGACAATCCCCACACCCTAGTCTCAGTAAACAACATGGAAGAGTGGTAGAAAGACTGTAAGAGGTAGAAGGCTGAGATAGTGTTTTCTATAAATGACAGTGACACGAAATGGAAATCACAACCATCTTGTTGCCTAAACAAAACCTAAAATAATGACGACACCAATTGGCATGCCAGAGTGGATGAGCGATTCTTAAAAGGTCCCATTAACACAAGAGCTACATGCAAGTAATGACTGCTGTGAGAGAGAGAATCAGTCTTCTTCAGGAACAGGACCCATGAAAGGTTTGCCAATCTCAAGAGATCAGCCCTAAACACACGTGAGCAATACTAAGTCTTCAACAGTTGGATGCATTTATAAATGTATGTACATATATATGTAACAATGATATTTTTAATGCACTCAAATGTCTTTAGAAAAGCAGCCTCAAAACGAAGTCCTTAGATATTTATACTTAGAGATAAACACACACTGTAGAGCATTTTCGGCAGGAAGGGAAAATGATTAAGAGGTCTGATGACTCCACAAAACTGTGTAAAACCCTGTTCTACACTGCTGTCTCCAGGAAGAGCTCTCTTGTCTGAAGTTTGATCTCAGGAGAAAGGTTTTAAAATCTGTGTCAAGATCAGCTAATCCATTTCTTTTTATTTATTTATTTTTTTATTCATTTTTCAGTTTAAATTTAGATTAGAAACAAGGTTGCTTCACAAGTCAGTTCCAGGTCCTTCTCCCTTTCCCTCCCCAATCCCCAATTATCCCCTCATTTCCCCAGGGAGGGTGAGGCCCCCCATGGGGGTGTCCATAGTCTGTCATTTCATCCAGGGCAGGGATTCAAAAGTTAACCTTTGTCAGGTCCAGCTAATCCATTTCTTAGTTCTCCAAGCACCCCAAACTTCTCCAACCAAGAAATTCAGCCACATAAGTAAGAGAGAAGGTCCACAAAGACAAAACTAAGCAGAACTGACTGCTATTGAAGACTCAATAACAAAGGGATTTTGTAAAGACAGTTTAAGGAACTTGTCATGCATTCCAGAATGTGCCACAGCCTCAGCAAACCTTCAAATGCAGTCTCCTGCACCCGCACCTAGATCTGAGCTGCCCTTCTACATTTCCTAAGCACCCCAAGTGTCCCCTCACTGTGTGACAAGAAAAAGCTTATACAAAAGCAAGCTTGTCTCAAAAATGCAGATCATACCATCTACCTGCACCACTCTTTGGAATATACCCCAAAACTTCAAGTCAACAGACCACGGTGATACCTACAGATCCGTGTATATTGCAAAGATGTTCATGACAACCAGCTTAGATGCTCATCAATGAATGAGCAAATAAATAAAATGTGGAATAAATACACAGTGGAGCTTTAGTTAGACATAAAGAAGAATGAAATTTTCCCATCAATAGGAAAATGGATGGCATAGAAGATCATTATGTTATATCACTTTTGGGAGTCATGCAGCCTAGTCTTGAAGAGCATATGACTACCTGTCCAATGAATTTCCATTGGCAAAAGTACATCTGTGGATACAAATGCTCACTTAGCAAGAACCAGTAGTCCATGGGACGGCATAGAATTTGCAAACATTAGTGCAGCTTGGAGGCTCTTTTCTTTCTCATTATATTGGTGATTCTTTAAATGGCTTTTAGTTTTATTGTTGTAATGCAACAGCTGTGATTTTCCCTGAAAATTCTGTTCCTTTTCAACAGGGGGATAATGTTTCTCAAATCTCTTATCTGAAATCTAACTAAAACTCCTAATCCTTGGAGCTTTTCTGACAATAGAAATATTTAGGTACATATGAGAAAACCACACTTGGAACATTGACCATGTATCACACTTCCTGAAAGGGGTGTAAGGCACACATACACAGAATAGGGAAAAGGCCTCAAGAATACACATAGTACCAACTGTTGAGAGTAAGTTTCCTGGGTACCAATCACATAGAATCAATGATAAGATACAGTATATTCTGATGGGAATGATGCAGTGTTAAATATGGGATGGAGAGATCCATCTTTACCATACATACACAGGAGCTCATACTGATGGAAGAAGTATGATATAGTGAGAAGGGAAAAGAGTGCTTTTTGCAGAGAGATTGAGACATGGGACCCTCTTATAGAAAAGGGGACTGTATAAAATATATCTTGCAGATATGAAATAATTGCCTGGACTTGAATATTGTCCTTAAAGCATTGTGCCCATGTCTATTACTTTTTAAGTTTGTAAAAGTAGCTGCCAGCTGACACAAGTATGGTAAGAGCAGGGCGTGCCTGGCTTGATATTTAGTCAGTCTTGCAAAAATGCTGAACTCTATGTCTAGAAGACGGCTATGCAGGGGTGGGATGGGTATTTGGGGAAGCATAAAAGGTAACAATGGGGGTTTTCATAATGCCCAGATGTATTCTTTCAACTGTGATGTGTTTCTTTTTTTAAATTCTTTTTCCTGTCTTTTTTATTTAAATTAGAAACAATCTCGTTTTACATGTCAATCCCAGTTCCCTATCCCTCTCCTCCTCCTCTGCCTCATACTGACCCCCTTTCTGCTCCCCAGGGAGGGTAAGGCCTTCCATGGAGTATCCTCAAAGTCTGTCATATCATTTGGAGCAGAGCCTAGACCCTCCCCCTTATGTCTAGGCTGAGAGAGTATCCCTCTATGTGGAGTGGGTTCCCAAAGTCCATTAGTATACTAGGGATAAATACTGATCCACTACCAGAGGCCCCCATAGACTGCCCAGGTCTCCTAAATGACACCCACATTCAGGGGGTCTGGAATGGTCCTATGCTGGTTTCCCAGCTTTCATTCTGGGGTCCATGAGCACCCCCTGTTCAGGTCAGCTGTTCCTGTGGGTTTCTCCAGTCTGATCTTGATCCCTTTGCTCATCCCTCCTCCCTCTCTACAACTGGATTCCAGGAGTAGCTGTGATGTACTTCTTAAAGTTAAAAATAGAAGCCAATAATAAAGCTGTTCATGTAACTCTGGTAAAAAAAAAACAAAAAACTAAGTATAAATAAAGAAGGTCTGAGCTTTTCAGGGCCACGAGTACAATCCACTTAGTGGTCAGAAGTTTTCCCTGTGCCAATGCCCCATCCCTGATTTAGGACCTGCACCTGGACCCTGGCAAGTCACAAAAGTCATTCTCAAAGTGCGGCACATTTTCTCTCATGTGTGGAGGAGGGAGGGGAGACTTGAAAGTAAAGGGGACATTAGGGGTATGAAAGGGGAAAGGGAGGGCCAGAGGGAGAATAAGAAAGGGTAACAGAGAGGACCAATGTGATCAAAGTGCATTATAAACAAGTATGGAAAAGACAATGAAAAAGGCAAATGGCTCATGACATAACAATGCAAAAATGCAAGGGATAATATTATGTTTAAATAAGACTGTGTGATTTCTAATGGATAAATTCTAATAACTCAATAATTCCTACTTTTAATTTTTAATTTTATGTCTTAAATGTTTCTATATAAATGTCAAATCAATCTAAACACATAGTAGTTAAGATGATCAAAGTAAAACACTAGTAAACAATTTTAATCATCAAACATATTCTTTGATTACAGTAAAGTGCCAAACTATCATCATCGTCATCATCATCATCATCATCATTATTATTGGCTTTTCAAAACTGGGTTTCTCTGTGGCATTGGAGGTTGTCCTGGAACTCACTTTGTAGACCAGGGTGTCCTCGAACTCACAGAGATCCACCTGCCTCTGCCTCTCAAGTGCTGGGAATAAAGGGATGCGCCTCCACCACCCAGCAGTACGAAACTATTATACAGGTGAGTATGCATTTGCATTGATAATTTACTAATGGAACAG